TTATAAACTGATTGGCCCTTAGCTCTGGCTACTTATTAGCTCTTATAACATATATTACCCCATTATCCTTATCTATGTTAGTCACACAGCTCAGTACCTTTTTCAGCTGGGCAGGTTACATGCTGTCTCTTCAGTGATCTGCGCAGGAGTGGCTGAGAGAGAGCTTCTGCTTCCAGAATACTCCCAGTCTCTTTGCTCCACCCCTACTTCCTGTCTGGCTTTCCCGCCTGTACTGCCTGCCTGGCCAATCAGCGTTTTATTAAAATATGATTGACAGAATACAGATAATTCTCCCGCAACCTGGGAGACTCTGATACCACCAAATATGCCTGCCAGCACGAGGTACAGCTTTCCTTTCCTCTGGACCACAGCTTCTGTGTGCTGATCCTGAGGAAATATTCCCAAAACATTTCACATAATGAAATGAAGATGCTGGTATCTTCTAATCACAACTGATTCTTTAGTCCCAACTGATCAGTTTCCATGTGTTCTTAGTTCAAAATATTGAAAAACTGTGGTAGCAGAGTCCTTGGGGGATACTCAAGCATCCTTTTGAACTTCACAAGTCAGGCCTCCATCATTTTCGTCTTCATTGCTCTTAACATTATCTTCTATGTTCCCATGGTAATTCTTTAAGATTCCAGAGCTCAATGGCTTTTCTAGCCCAGAGTTCCAAAGCCCTTTCACAATCTTCCATCAAATTACATGGCCAGGTCTGTCATGACAACACCCCACTTCTGGTAGTGATTTTTATCTCAGTTTGGGTTTCTATAGCTGTAGTAAACCACCACGATCAAAATCAACTGGGAGAAGAAACGGTTTATTTTATCTCATGTTTTGTAGTCCATCATCAAGAGAAGCAAAGGCTGCAACTCAAAGATAGCAACTGCCACAGAGGCTCCGAGGAACCGGTGATTAATGGCTGGCTCTTCATGGCTTGCTCAACCTATTTTCTTAGAGCATTCAGGACTTACTTTTCAGGGGTGGCACCACCCACAATAGGCCGGACCATCCTGGAACAATCACGAACTAAGAAAATGCCCTACAGATTTGTCTACAGATGAATCATATGGGCTCATTTTCTCAACTATGAGTCTCTTTCCCCAAATGACTCTAACTTGTGTCAAGTTAATAAGAAATTAGCCACCACAGTGGATTACTTTGCTCAATAAATATTATCATTTTCTGTCCATTGCCTTAAAATTTCATAAGTCTTGAGTAATTTTTTAATCCATCCATTTTATTCAGAAAAATAGACTTTATTTATTGAACATGACCGTTCAGTTCTTTTTTTCCAAATAGGATTAAGATTTAGTATTCAGGATTCCAGCTACAAAACCAAGCCTTCTTACCCCAGCCTCGACTGTGGAGAGTGTTAGTTGTTGTAATTTTATGTTCAATAGAAAGAAAGGGAAATTTAATTCTAAATCTTGTTCATTCAAAATGTACATGTAACCACAACTTCACAGTCTACAGAGGAAAATTGAATGAATGAGTGGTTTTGCATTTTAATAGTGTCTTCATCATTTGCTAATGTTCCAAAAGTAAAATTTATCAGTTTTCTGACAAAAAACCCAAGCCTTCAAATATAGTATTGTTTATCAAAACCCTCTTGATAGCATGCTTTACTGAGCAAAAATAACATCATAACAAGAAAAATAGCTAACGTACTCATCCATACATGGACTTTCCTTTCCTAAAGTCTATTTTATATTGGCAAAATAATAGTAGCTACCAAGGAGCTACTCAGGAAAACGGAAGCCAAGAGGGAGAGCATTCAAGGTGACTGAAAGAGGAAGAACCAGACCGAACCTGGCAGGGCACCATGCAGCTCGGAAAAGGTGCCAAGCGTAGATGGTGTGGGGTTTAGTCTGCTCTATTAGTCATTGTAGCACCGAGGTTAGTGGAACTTGACCAATAGATCAACAAGAAGGGTATTGGCTAGAAATATGCACATCCTGCTTCTCTTCCTGACCCAGACGATAGTTATTTAACTCATTTTTTGGTGTTACATTTACTCTAACAAGAGCAGAAAGGTCTAGAGGTCCAAGTGCAGACTGAATTTCAGAGCAAAGGTCAAATCCAGGGCTTCAGAAGGGATCCTAAAGCTACACTTTTAATGAAACTGCCTCTCCTGTTTGCCCCTGTATGTTTAATGTTGCTTGGCCATATTGCCTGATTCAATCACAATCCACTCTACGTTTTCTCTTCATCTCAAGAACTCATCTCAGCCCTTTCATGACTCTTAGGTTCTGTCGGACTCATGTTCACTATACTGAGTGTAACTACTTACATTATAAAATTTGTGCCCAATACTCCTGGCTGTGTAGGGGGCTGATTTTACCGGGTTATCTTAGAAGGGTAACTTTGTCTCCTATTACAATCAGTGTTTAGAAAATGAAAAGACATTCTCTGCATAATGAATTCAGCTGTTAAATATGGGATTCTTCTGGGGTCTCAGGTAAGGTACGTTGCCTATGGTTTTCTTATTCCTTGTTATGCTAGTGGGACATCTACAGGATGTAGAGTTCTTTAATTCCAGCCCAGTGTCATTTGCAGAATGGTTGTAGAAGGACTTTAGTTCCATCCCAGACCCCGGCCATGCAGCAGCTGGCCATTCCTCTTGCTCCCATCAGTCGCACTCTGGCTTGTGTGCTGGGAGCACCTTTTTCTAATTCTCTTTTAGGAGGAAATACAAAACAGAAGGGAGGATATTCATTTAACAGCTTGCAGAAAAGACCTCAAAGACCTATTTATTATGCTGTGGTCTTCAGGGAATTTGCTTCGGGAGTTTGATTTCAACTAAGATATCCTAATGAAGGAAAATAAGTTTCAGGATCAAAGCTCCTCCTCGTCATCACTAGCAGTTTGAATAGAATGTTTATAAATTCTCTTTAGTGTCTTACCTTGAGCTGGGTCTGGATGAGGTCTCTCTCCCCATTGCTTTCTTTTTTTCTCTCTCCATCTCTTGCCTTTTCCCTCTACTTACTTCCTTTTTTCTCTTCCAACAATTTCAACAATACCTTTGTTTATTGTTTGTTCTTTTCCTCTCTCATGTTTATTTTTCTTTAGTGTTCACATTCCCTTTCTGTTTGTGAAGTAATTTACAGGACTTTTAGGGGCCATTCCTTCCTTAATGGTACTGTTCTTTAACAAACTGTTCAAAGTAATGCTTCCTGGCTGTGACTTCATGGTCTTATAACTTTCTCCATATTTCAGTTCTTCTTCCTTTAGTTCCCTTTGCCCACTGTTTTCCTTACCTTAGCATCTCTCTGGCACTGTGACAATGACTCATATTCAAGAGAGTGTAACAGCTTTCTTGAATGTGTTCCTTTGCATTTCATACTGGAATTCATGGTTTTCTTTAGAGAAAAAAATGCATGCATCTGCAAAAGGAGGTGATTGGTGTAGTGGCCCTTCCCATGCGTTTGGACTCTATTGGACATAGGCCACACTCGCTGTGACTTTTCTGGGTTATCACAAGGAAGGGGAATAGTGTTTCTATTCTCAGGAGGACAAAGAAGTAAAGTAAACAGATTTGAAGGTGCTTGTATGTGGAAGCTTGCACATTCACACTAGGGAGACTCTGTTATCAGGTGAGCAAGCCCAGGCAGGACAGCTGCGGGGTAAGGATTGTGGAGAGGCCATCCCTGTCATGTTCCCTAGACAAGAAGAATCTAATTGTGATGAGAACTCTTGTGAATACCATTATTGCTTATAACCGCCTTTAAATAGATATTTGGAAAAAGTTAAAAGAAATTTTGCTTTCTGATATCATTTCTTCATGAGGTTTTTGTTCATAAATATTGCTTCTCTTATTTCCATTTTATACTATTTTTATTGTTAAGTAAAAACTGATATTGTAAAAATAAATCTATTCTTAGCTTTCATAAGATACACTAATGCCTTAATTACTTTTCTATTGCTGTGGTAAAGCACCTTGACCAATGCAACTTATAAAAAATGCATTTAATTTGGGGGTTATATTTTTAGAGGGTTAGTTTCCATGACCATTATGGGAGTGGGGGGCCATAGCAGCAGGCGGACAGGCATGAAGCAGTGGAGCAGTAGCTGAAAGGCCACATCTCAAGACTGTCACAAGTCAGAGAGAAAGAGAGAGAGAGAGAGAGAGAGAGAGAGAGAGAGAGAGAGACACTGGGGATCGTGTAAGACGTTTGAAACCCTAAAGCTTGACCCTAGTGAAACTCCAACAGGGCCACACATCCTAATGCTTCGCAAACTGGGGACCAAATATTCAAATGTATAAGCCTATAGAGGTATTCCTGATTTGAACCACTACAGCTAAGATATTTATCATGATTAATTTAGTGGCTTGAAAATACACACACACACACACAAACACGCACACACACACACACACACACACACACAGACAGAGTTGTATTTCTCTACATAATAAAATTATATATTTATGCACGATATATACACATTTATAGATAGAATTGTATTTCCATTTCTGAATGATCCATCTGTAACACAGAAAAGATCTCTGCAATGCTAAATTTCACTTTAAATCTCCTTGTGGTTCCACAGATAGAACAGTCAGTGAGATATGTTTACATACAACCCCAGGCTTTGGCTTGTTAGGGTAAACAGAATCTTACAAATGTCATTCATTGTGCCAGTTCAGTACTTGCAGGGTGAATTGTGCCCAGGTGAGAAAATCTAGGCAAAATTCAAGGAATGATGTCAGACTCATCATGTACATCCCATGCTACATTGTATATTAACAAGGAAGATGAACTATGTCTCAATCTTGAGACCCCTTATATGATACAAAATTGTGTGTATTCACTTCTTTATAGCTTTTATTTAATTAATGTAAGATAATTATGCTTATGAATAGTTTTTAGATAATTACCAAAGACTCTAACTAGGAGTGGAAAAGAAAAGTCATAAGGCTATGTGGGAAGAACTTATTTTTTTTATTTTGCATACTTTTAATTTCGGAACAAAATAAACAAAAAAAAAAAAACCAAAACACACAATACCCAACCCTGCTATTCTGTGGGAGGGGATTTTCCTGCCTTAAGGCACAAGACAGGATAAGAGATTCTCTAGCATGAGCAGAGAGAGCCAGGTAGGTCAGGGCCAGTCAAGGCTGCAGGGGGAGCACAGGGAAACTATACAGAGGACATGGTCTTCCCAGGGCATCTCTAATCTACTTCTTCAATGTGGGAGGCATCCTCATCACCCTCAAGTGGGGGGATCTCATCAGGAACAGCAGCACCGGGCTCCTCTGCTGTCACCTCATCTTCATCAATGCCCAGGCCTAGTTTGATCATGCGGTAGATGCGGTTGGAGTGGGTCTGGGGATCCTTAAGTGAGAAGCCAGAGGAGAGCAGCGCAGTTTCAAACAGCAGCACCACCAGGTCTTTAACAGCTTTGTCATTCTTGTCAGCTTCAGCCTTCTGCCTCAGGGTCTCCACAATGGGGTGGTCAGGGTTGATCTCTAGCTGCTTTTTGGCCATCATGTAACCCATTATAGAGTTGTCTCGAAGTGCCTGGGCCTTCATGATCCTCTCCATGTTGGCTGTCCAGCCATAGGTGCTGGTTACAATGCAGCAGGGTGAAGACACAAGCCTATTGGAGATTGTCACCTTCTCAACCTTCTTATCCAAAATCATCACACCTCTCAGTCTGGAGATGAGATGACCTCCCTGTCAGAGTATGTGTCTCGCATGAAGGAGACACAGAAGTCCATCTACTATATCACTGGTGAGAGCAAAGAGCAGGTGGCCAACTCTGCCTTTGTGGAACGTGTGCAGAAGTGGGGCTTTGAGGTGGTGTACATGACTGAGCCCATTGACGAATACTGCGTGCAGCAGCTCAAGGAGTTTGATGGAAAGAGCCTGGTCTCTGTGACTAAAGAGGGCCTGGAGCTACCAGAGGATGAGGAAGAGAAGAAGAAGATGGAGGAGAGCAAGGCAAAGTTTGAGAATCTCTGCAAGCTCATGAAGGAGATTTTGGATAAGAAGAACTTATATTTTTATTGTTTTATTGAACTATATATTTTTCTCTGCTCTCCTCCCTTGCTCTCCCCTCCTCTTCTACCTTCTCCCATTGTCCCCAATTTACTCAGAAGATCTTGTCTTTTTCAAAAAGAACTTTTTATAGGAAACTCTTGGTTAGCTACTGGAAGAAAAGATAAAGTACGCTTAGTCTAAATCTGTAGTCAGAAATGTTTGGGCTGAAAGAATTGTTAGGCATTAGCGGAGAACTGGAAGAACCAGGCACCTTCACTGTCTTTTCCTGTGTTTAATTTTGGCATTTGGGAGGGAGGTTGAGAAACATCTACTTAGCTTTGGCAAAATGACTGTGTTAAGTAAACATTTTCCAGACTCTTCATATCAAAAACTTGCAAGCTCACTGCTATGTGAGACCAGAAAGGCATGTTTCAGCATCTCCTAAATATAAATCATTGACGTCTGAATGGAAGACCTAAAACAACAGCAACAAATTCCCAAGCAAATGTGTTGTTTTTAGTATGTGCTTCAGCAAGATGAATTGTAAGTATTTCATTTACACTTTAGAAAAACTCAAAATATTTATATCACATGAAACAGAGCTTGGTACAATACAGCCTGCAGACGAGACTTGGCCTATTTTTATGAATAAGATTTTTTTTTCAAATTTATTTATTTATTTGTTTATAAAAATTTTCACTTCCTCCCCTCCTCCCCATACCCTCCCAATCCCCCCACTTCCACTCCTCCTCCCCCCAACTCCTTCTCCTCCTCCCTCTCCAGTCCTAAGAGCAGTCAGGGTTTCCTGCCCTGTGGGAAGTTCAAGTCCCTCCCCTCTCCCTCCAGGTCTAGGAAGGTGAACATCCAACCAGACTAGGATCCCAAATAGCCAGTACATGCAGACAAAACAAGACCCAGTGCCATTGTCAATGACTTCTCAGTCAGCCCCCATGTCAGCCACATTCAGAGACTCCGGTTTGATCACATGCTCGTTCAGTCCCAGTCCAGCTGGCCTTGGTGAGCTCTCATTCGATCAGTCCCCTTGTATCAGTGGGCGAACGCACCCCTCACAGTCCTGATTTCCTTTTTCATGGTCTTCCTCCTTCTGCTTCTCATTTGGACCTTGGGGGGCTCAGTCCAGTGTTCCAATGTGGGTCTCCGTCTCTATCTCCATTTATCGTCAAATGAAGGTTCCCTCTGGCCCTGCCTTTCTTGCTCACATTTTCCCTCCTTCTGATTCTCATTTGAACCTAGGGAGTTAAGTCCAGTGTTCCAATATGTGTCTCTGTCTCTATCTCCATCCATCACCAGATGAAGGTTCTATGGTGATATGCAAAGTATTCATCAGTATGGTTATGGGCCAAGGCCAGTTCAGGCACCCTCTTCTGCTCCCATATCCATCCTTCCTCCCTCCTCCCATCCCATTCCCCCAAGCCATCCCCAATCCTCCCCTACTCCCTTCTCTTTAGCCATCTCCCCTTTCTTCCACCCGCAATGCCCCGTGCACCCAAGTTTGCCTTGTAATATTGTCTACTTCCAATATCCCGGAGAATAACCGTATGATTTTCTTCAGGTTCACCTTCTTATTTAGCTTTTCTAGGATCATGAATTATAGGCTCAAAGACCTTTAACTATGGCTAGAATCCACTTATGAGTGAGTACATACAATATTCCTCTTTTTGGGTCTGGGTTACCTCACTCAGTAAAGCGTTTTCTATTTCCATCCATTTGCATGCAAAATTCAAGATGTCATTGTTTTTAACCGTTGAGTAAAATTCTAATGTGTATATGTTCCACACCTTTTTTAACCATTCTTCTATTGAGGGGCACCTAGGTTGTTTCCATGTTCTGGCTATTACAAATAGTGCTGCTATGAACATAGTTGAACAAATGCTTTTGTAGTATGATAGGGCATCTATTGGGTATATTCCTAAGAGTGGAATTGCTGGGTCCTGAGGGAGGTTGACTCCCAGTTTCCTGAGAAACTGCCACACTGATTTCCACAGTGGCTGAACAAGTTTGCATTCCCACCAACAATTGATGAGTGATCTCCTCACTCCACATCCTCTCCAGCATAGGCTATCATTGGTGTTTTTGAGTTTGGCTATTCTGACAGGTGTAAGATGATATCTCAAAGTTGTTTTGATTTGCATTTCCCTGAACGCTAAGGAGGTAGAACATGACCTTAAGTGCCTTTTGACCATTCGAAGTTCATCTGTTGTGAATTCTCTGTTCAGTTCAGTACCCCATTTTTTAATTGGGTTAATTAGAGTTTTAGTGTCTGGTTTCTTGAGTTCTTTGTATATTTTGGAAATTAGACCTTTGTCTGATGAGGATCTTCTCCCAGTAAGAAGGTAGCCTTTTTGTCTTACTGACAGTGTCCTTTGCTTTACAGAAGCTTCTCAGTTTCAGGAGGTCCCATTTATTCATTGATTCTCTTATTGTCTGTGCTACTGGGGTTCTACTTAGGAAGTGGTCTCCTGTGCCTATATCTTGTAGACTACTTCCCACTTTCTCTTCTATGTGGTTCAAAGTGCTCGGATTAATGTTGATATCTGTAATCCATTTGGACTTGATTCTTGTGCATGGTGATAGATATGGATCTACTTTCATTCTTCTACAGGTTGACATCCAGTTATGCCATCACCATTTGTTAAAGATGCTTTCCTTCTTCCATTGTATACCTTTTGCTCCCTTGTCGAAAATCAGGTGTTCATAGGTTTGTGGGTTAATATCAGGGTCTTCTATTCGATTCCATAGGTCGACTTCTCTGTTCTTATGCCAATACCAAGCTGTTTTCAATACTGTTGCTCTGTAATAGAGTTTGAAGTCAGGGATGGTAATGCCTCCAGAAGTTCCTTTATTGTACAAGTTTGTTTTGGCTATTCTGGGATTTTTGTTTTGCCACATAAACTTGATTATTTTTCTCTCAAGGTCTGTGAAGAAGTTTGATGGGATTTTGATGGGGATTGCATTGAATCTGTAGATTGCTTTTGGTAGAATTGCCATTTTTACTTTGTTGATTCTCCCAATCCAAGAGCAGGGGAGGTCTTTCCATTTTCTGGTAACCTCCTCAATTTCTTTCTTCAAAGACTTAAAGTTCTTGTCAAATAGGTCTTTCACTTCCTTGGTTAGAGTAACCCCAAGATATTTTATGCTATTTGTGGTTATCGTGAAAGGTGATGTTTCTCTGATTTCCCTCTCTGCTTCTTTATCCTTTGTGTATAGGAGGGCCACTGATTTTTTGGAGTTGATCTTGTATCCTGCCACGTTACTAAAGGTGTTTATCAGCTGTAGGAGTTCTTTGGTAGAGTTTTTGGGGTCACTTATGTAAACTCTCATATCGTCAACAAATAACGAAAGTTTAACTTCATCCTTTCCAATTCGAATCCCCTTGATCCTCTTATGTTGTCTTATTGCTATTGCTAGAACTTCAAGCACTATATTGAAGAGGTATGGAGAGAGTGGAGAGCCTTGTCGTGTTCCTGATTATAGTGGAATGGCTTTGAGTTTCTCTCCACTCAATTTGATGTTAGCTGTCGGCTTGCTATATATTGCTTTTATTATATTTAGGTATGATCCTCGTATCCTCAATCTCTCCAACACCTTTATCATAAATGGGTGTTGAAATTTGTCAAATGCTTTTTCAGCATCCAATGAAATGATCATATGGTTTTTTTCTTTCAGTTTATTTATATGATGGATTACATTGATAGATTTGCGTATGTTGAACCAGCCCTGCATCTCTGGGATGAAGCCCACTTGATCATAATGGATAATTTTTCTAATGTGTTCTTGGATTCGGTTTGTAAGTATTTTATTGAAAATTTTTGCGTCGATGTTCATGAGTGAGATTGGCCTGTAATTCTCTTTCTTTGTTGTGTCTTTGTGTGATTTTGGTATCAGGGTAACTGTAGCTTCGTAGAAACAGTTTGGCAATGATTCTTCTCTTTCTATATTGTGAAATACATTAAGGAGTGTAGGTATTAGCTCTTCCTGGAAGTTCTGGTAGAATTCTGCATTGAAACCATCTGGTCCTGGGCTCTTTTTGGTAGGGAGATTTTTGATAACAGCTTCTAATTCTTCACGACTGACAGGTCTATTTAGATTGTTCACCTGGTCTTGGTTCAATTTTGGTATATGGTACTTCTCTAAAAATATGTCCATTTCTTTTACATTTTCCAATTTTGTGGCATACAGGCTTTTGTAGTAAGATCTAATGATTCTCTGAATTTCCTCTGTGTCTGTGGTTATGTCCCCCTTTTCATTTCTGATCTTATTAATTTGCGTGTTCTCTCTCTGCCGTTAGATTAGTTTGGAGAGGGGTTTGTCAATCTTGTTGATTTTCTCCAAGAACCAGCTTTTTGCTTCATTGATTCTTTGGATTGTTTTCTGTGTTTCTATTTTGTTGATTTCAGCCCTCATTTTGATTATTTCCAGTCTTCTAGACCTTCTGGGTGAATCAGCTTCTTTTTTTTTCTAGAGCTTTCAAGTGTCCTGTTAAGTCTCCAATGTGTGCTTTCTCCATTTTCTTTAATTGGGCACTTAGTGCTATGAACTTTCCTCTTAGCACTGCTTTCATAGTGTCCTGTAGGTTTGAGTATGTTGTGTCTTTATTTTCATTAAATTCAAGGAAGACTTTAATTTTTTTCTTTATTTCT